AACACACATAATTGAACTGATCAGGAGTCAAATTAAACGACTAATAAATTAAATTATAAATAAGTAACTTCAATGTAGAGTTTTTTTATAATAACAAGTAACCAGTGAAATCTATCGTGTTAAGGTGAAACGGATTTTCAATACAAACGTCAAGTCAGTTAGTTCTTCTATACGGATCAGAAACTTGGAGGGTCACAAAGAATATTTCCAACAGCCTGTTGCAGACATTTATCAACAACTGTCTTCGTTCTATACTGAAGATCAGATGGCCGGAAAGAATCACCAACAAGGAACTATGGGAACAAACAAAACAAGAACCAATCGCTCAACAAATATGCAGGAGAAAATGGAGATGGATGGATTGGACACTCGCTGAGGAGGCCGTTGGGTGACATCGCGCGTCAGGCCAACGCTCGAGTGGAACCCGAAAGGGAAGCGGCGAGTAGGACGTCCAAGGGTGACATGGAGGAGATCGTGTGAAGAGGAACTGAAACAGTATGGACTAACATGGATGCATGTGAAAAGTGCAGCAGAAGACAGAAACAAGTGCAGGCGTGCAGCAGTTGAAGCCCTATGTTCCACTAGGAACCCAAGGGAACAATGATAATATAAGGTGAAACGGATGCTCGTCGATGGCACTGGCTGGCGATAGCGCAATATCACGAATTGACGGAATTAGAATTCATGGACCAAGTGGCTGAATTGTCAACGAGCTTAGCCTCGTCACCTGAAAGTCCCAGGATCCGATCCCTGATGAGGTTGTAGGTGCGCACTGTTAAAGAGTCTCAAACTAGGACGAAACAGATGTCTAGTGATCTATGGAGAAAAGTAAACTTAATTCAACCTAGTAGTGAAACCGAGCAAAACGGACTGCATAAGTTCGAATTACAGATTGTCGATGTCTTAGTGATCATGCCTACTACTGAAACTATGCCTTGAAAGAAGATTTTGTCACAAACTAATATCAACAATTAGAAAAATATTACAAAACCGAGGAGTACTGGATTGGCAACTGGTTAGTCTTATTGGAGAATTTTCATTTATGAGAACCTATGAGTCCTTCCTTAAGGGATATAAAACATGACCACTGGGGTTACCAAGTAAAGATGTAAGTGTTCAGTAACTGAATCAAAATTTGACGAATTTGGACTACTATAAGGTTTAGTAATTAAGAGTACTGATTCATGGCTAACTACTAACAGTCAATTGATGTACGTGTTCATACGCTAATCTTAAACAATCCAGGAGATAGTTACTAGTTGACTATTCACCTTATTAATGTGCTACTATCAAATGTCAAAAGTCAACTGACAAACCCCTTATAGATCTATGAGCTTGTTGGTATGTATTATAGATTGATATTGATTAGCTGCGAACCACTCAAATTAAGCAATGGTATTTGCTAGCCACAAACAATGGACGGCTTGTTCCATTAGTTCCGGATCGAGGTTATCAAAGGTGAACTCAGGTTGACTCAGGTCTGAGAACCGAATCAATTCAAACAAACCCAATTCTGATTTGGTTGGTTTCTCATGTGATCTGTGCTACTGATAAGATTTATCAGTAGTATATTTAGAGGCTTTCAAAGGCACAAAACTATCAAATAGCGGATAGATTTGATGCGAAAGAGAGAGAAAGAAACCAGGATTGAGGCGAAACATGGGAGACACGGAAAGAAGATAAAGAAACACAATAGGAAATGCATAAATAACACAACACGGAAGATGTGTGCATATGACGGTGGCATAGGGGTTAAGACTCTCGATGAGTAAATGCATTTGCGTCACTTAAAACACTTCTCAGTTATATCACCAACCGTCTGACGACATTTATTCTTAGCCTCCCGAGGTCGCCAACCGGGCAATCTTCATCTCATTACGTGGCTCAAACCAACTGTCAGAGACTTCATAGATTGATTCCAGGTCTTGGTTTGTTCATCGGTAACTTTTCCAACCGATACGCCTATATCAGCTGGGTGTCTATGGGCAAAGTCACACTGCGGTGAGAGCTGGCTGCTAGCCAAAATGGTAGACAGTAATTTACGTCAATGTTTACGTCTCCAATACTGGTCATGAGAAAAATAAGAACATAGACTGACTCAACAACCAATCACAGCAGACTTTGCGTAGGTGAATACAATTTGCAGATAGATAATCTGAACTTCAAGAAACGGCCACAAAGAGATGAAAGATTAACGTTCAGCGAGAAGCCACCAATCAGAAGACTGTGTTTGTTGGCTTATAATAATCTATGATAATGTACATAATGTACATAATCGAGTACATTAACCGATGCACACAGATGAAAACTACTTTAGTCGACCGTTATTATTTAGACAGTAAGGTGAGCAGATAGTCATTTTACGGCAAACATTTAAAACCAAACCCGGTAACAGTAAACTGAATACAAAATAGTTTCCGACTAACCACATCAGCAACTAATACATACCGGCAAAGTCATGAACCTAGATTTCACCGTTAATGACACTCATCAGTAGGATGCATCTGCAGCCACCATAGAACCGATGTCCCCTAGAAGATTCTAATCCACGTCATACAGTGCTGTAGTAGTTAGACACGCTACCAACACTGAGTTACTGGGGTTCACACAATTGATCTCCTGTTGATTGCTTCCTAGGCGGTAACTAATATTATGTTTCTAGTTCTTTGTGTTGGTGCTCATGGAATCCTACCAGTCAAGTTTGGAATGTAGTCACCTTCCTTCGAGGACGCCGATTCGCTAACAAGCACGAAACCTAGGTATCCAGAGTCTCCTGCCTACTCTCTCTCTATCTGCAACCAATTAGCATCAGCTTAAAGTGCACGACAATGACGGGTTATCTAGCTTAATGACCTCATCGTAAAATTGGCTGACAGCAAAACAAAGGAGTTGAACCATCAGTGTACACTATACACTGCTAGTGACTCCACTTTTTCTAAGAACACATGAATACACTCAACCAACAGACGTATCATTTAGTAACAAAACAAAATTTAAATGGATTAGCGAGGGGAGAAACGAAATCCATTCTGCATAATTCAATGAGAGACACGTTGTGGAGAGCAACAGAGAACCTGGGTATAACCGACATAGCCAAACGAAAAAGCTACAATTCAATATTACATAATGATGGTGACCATGGGGTAACGGTTATACGATGACTGCCTTCCAAGCAGTCAGTCCAGGTTCGGCTCCCGGCGGTCACAAGAACGTTCACCAACCATGCACTTCGTCCGGAGTTAGATCCCCAGCCGACACCCTCCTAAACCTCGCTAAGCCAGTAGTAAGGCCAGTAAAAATACGGAAGCTTGGGAGTATGGCTAGCGACCCCCCCCATACCATAGGAATAAAACCGAAACTTCAAACGTCTAGCTTGAAGCCATATGTTCCACTCGGGACGTAAAGGAATATAACAGAGACAGACAGAATTACGATAAGCGACCAACAAACTCGATACATACCGAAAGAATGAAAACAAGAATAGCGGGAGTAATAAAAGAGAAAAAGAGATAGTAAGACAAAAAGTGTTTTTCATAGAAATTTCAAGATTTATCTGTAGATGAGAAATGAATGTACTCACAGAGTTAAAAATCAGCTATTAGTTCCATTTCAAACTAAAATTTTTGAAAAGTCGATTATAATTTTAGCATAATCTCTTAACAAAAATAAAAAAACAAATCCCAGGACTTTTACACATAACTTAAACTATCAATCAAAGATTTTGTGCGTCTCACTAACACGAAAAATATCTTTTTCATTTATTTTTTCTATTTCATTCCTTTACGATCCAAATGGAACATACGGCGTCAAGCTACAGCATTGAAGTTTCGTCAGCAGTAGAGTTGCTAGTCTCATGCCCGACCTTCCCTGTTTACCGGCCTTACCACTGGTTTAGCTAAGTTAAGGAGGGCGTCTGCTAGGGATCAGTGGTAGAATGCTTGCCAACCATGCACATAGTCCGGGGTTTGATTCCCGGCCGACGCATCTCTAAACTAATCAAAGCCGGCAATAAGGCACGTAAAGTGGGGAAGTTGAGTGCGCCGCTAGCAACCTCACCCTATAAAAATAAAACACCACTGCTAATGAAACCTCAAAGCCAATGTATGAAGCAGCATGTTGCACTTGGAACGAAAAGGGATAAAATAATAATAATAATATCTTTGTTACCTGGTGAGTACTCTCCAGCTGTCCTACAATGCTTTAATGGTGATTCTGACACTTAAACACCGTAACTGACGTAGGACAGTGAATTTTCTTATTTTCTTTACAAAATTTCTCCAGCTAGCAAACATCTAAGTAAGTAGGAGTATGACGTGTGCTACTGACAAGACTTATAAGTAGTAAATAGATGCAATATATATAAATATGTATATCATCTGCAAGAAAATCGAATAGCGGAGAGATGGAGTTGATGAGAAGGATGCTTGTGAAACGATAGGGAAAAAGATGAAAAGAAGACAAAACAACACAATGCAGAAGACTGGTGCAAATTGTGATTTTAATATATGATAGATACATTTTGCCTGTATCTGTACACCGAGTTACCAATAAATAATTCCCTCACCAATTACTCTTGTCTTCCTGCATTACAGGATAACTCAGTTGATCACTTAGCAAAGAGAAGATGTAGATGCGGTTTACTGGGCTTAAGCTCAAGGCTTCCAGCCATTGGGCCACGGGGAGTTTGAATCCCACTCCGCTTACTTCAGCCTGAACAACTGGATGGTATCCTCAACCCTCATACACGCAAAAGACGTATGGTTGTTAGACTGGTGTATATAAAAGATCTATTAAGGGTAAATGAATTCAAAAGAAACACATGATATACTCAAAGTAGACGTTGAGTTTGCCGACTAGTTTGATAACGACACGTTCATAACACTAAATACATTAAAGGTAAGGAGTAATAATACAGTTGGCAGAATATATATAGTTCATAATTATGACCCAAGAATGGAAAGACACACGCACACAGAGGGTATAAATACAAGTTAACTAACCTCCATTTTCGCCATAAAATGATCGTACATTGTATAGTAGGGCCTAAAATATAAACATACAAATAAACAAAATCAAATTAGTCAAATAGTCGCGAAAAGCAAGAGCATCATTCAATAATAAATTCCGCTGATGATGAGTATTTTCAAGAAAATTCTGATGAGGCCAATGGTTTGAAGCCTGTTACGATTTAGATTTCCCCTTCACCTCCAACCACTATCAGCCACTAAACGTTAATAATAGTCCGCCGATCCAAGAGTATCTTAGAGACTATCCCATAGCAATTAACAACTTTTCCTTCATTCCTTCACAATCTAAGTGGGACACAGAGCTTCAAGCTTCAGCTTTGAAGTTCCACTAGTCGTGTGGTAATAAGGAATGGGGTTTCCAACCCCAAACAGTCAACCTTCCCTCTTCACCTGGCTTATTACCTACCGTACCGACTAGATAAGGTTTAAGTGTAACAAGAGAAGACAAGGACCAGGCAGCAGATCGTTTATTGAGAAAATCAACAAATATTTATGGGTCTTTGTGTACGTTATTATTCGTTATTGTTAGCAGGGAGATAATGTCTTCTGATTGGTTGTTTTCCTGCTGAAGGTTATTCTGTCATCTCTTCGTTGCCGTTTCGTAGACAGTTCGCTGATATATCTGCTCATCGTATCCGCCCACGCTAAGTCTGCTGTGATTGGTTGTTGAGTTACCCAAGGTTAGGCTTTGTTCTTGTTTTTTCTCATGACCTCGATTCGGGACGTAAACACAGACGTAATTTGTTGTCTACAATTTTGGCTGGCAGACAGCTCTCACCACAAAGAGTGTGTCGGCTGGGAATCGAACCAAGAGCACGTAGGTGGTTGGGGTCTGATTCCCATTTGAGCGTCGTAGCCCATCAACTGGTAAAATAGTGGACTAGATAATTAGGAGACCTCTAATTTTAATCCTGCTCCACAAAACAGATTTTCATTTTTTTTCACTCGCAATCATTTCCTTTAAAAATGAATTTAGACTATTTTAATGAAATCATATAAATGTAAGGATTAGATGTACACTACTTATGACTAAAGGCCTCGAGAAGTTAAAAACAACACAATGACTGGAGATTGTCGATGATATGGCTTAAAATCGTCATCTATTTCGCATAGGTATTGACAACACTTCCTGATCTCCTAAATCCATGCTAAGCCATTGCTCAACTCTCCTCCAGCAATGTTAGCTGACATTGTATTGAGTCGGAAAAGAGTTACCGGTGATCAGATAAGAAAAAAACATGCATTCATTGACTGTTAGTTTTAACTATTTAAGGAGGCATGGACTGCATGTCTGAGCTCTCTTAGACGCTAAGATTGTCAGTGTCATGGCACTTTACGTTCACACGTGACTGGTATTCGTACTTCATTTCGGTGATATGTGTATTTCAGACAATATCTGCCTCATATATCCTGTTTATGTGTTTATCCATACGCCCTCTATACGTATTCACGTCACTATTTGTTTACTTGATCTCGAAATTTGACGATTTTACTTGGTTTATATATTATGAATGAAAAAGTCAGGGGTGGTCAAACCAAGAATTGAAACGTTAATCCTTGATGTTGTGAGACTGTATCGATGAAGTTGGCTAGGACATATGTTACACGTACGCTAACCCATTTCCCTTCAAACAAACAAATAAACATAAAGTAGGTTATACTTAAATTACTTTACTATTATTGGACATTCAAGTCTTACTTGGCTTTATGAATATCAAAACGATGTCGCTTCTCCAAATGATGAAGTGATTTTTCATTCGCTGCATAAATTTCCATTAATTTCTCATGCTGTGACTTTGCATGATTCAGTGCTCTGTTGGCATTATTAAACTAGACAGAGAAGAAATATGAGAGAGTGAGATATTGTAAAGAGAAGGTAGACTGAGAGAAGAAAAAAGATCAATAAACTTACTTTCCTTCTCCGCAAACCCTTTTTCGTTTGACAGATTACAAACTGCAGTGTTGAAAGTAATGAGGGTTGAGTTTTGTTATTATTGTTATTATGGAAAAATACAAATTCGTTTCGTTACCGGCACTAGAAGATGCGCCACGAAAAATCGCATAGCTTGGGTGAGAGCTGATATACTGCCAGGGCGCCCAGACCGGAGCACGTGGCTATCTTTGATTTGAAGTCAGTTCCACAAGGCAGTGGAGCAGCCTCAGGAGCTACATTCCCATGGTTGACGGTGACTAAAACAGGACCATATGCCGTTCGATCCCTCCGGATTTCGGAGCCCATGTACACCACTATAGGTTTGGAATAAGGGTTCCCCAGCTCCCTTAAGTGTAGACCTACATGTCTATCAGTCCAGTCCTATGCTCCAGACGTTCGCATTTATCATTTTGCCTTTGCGAGCAACACCCCTGCAGCGTGAAGGCAGTGAAAAGCAGTTACCTAGCGGAGGTTATGAATGTGTGATCACATAAGACCACTTCATGAGGGAGACTGGAGTCTATCCACTTTCGGCTGTATTATGTCGTTCACGGGAGAGGAGGGGTTGAGGAGGTTGACTTAACTTTGCAACGAAATGTATTCACACTACTGTAAGGCAGTTGGAATCAGCTCACACATCAACTAGTAAAGCTTGCCAGTCGAATTACACTGCTTTAAACAATGGACAACTGTTCTAGTTGTTTGGGGTCCAGCACATTTAGCGGTGTGTCCGAAATGATTCAGTTTTAAGAGGAGTCAAGAAGGGGAATTTCACGTTAACGAATTTATTACTTCACAAATAACTAAGCATATCTTGTGTTTGGTTTCATTATTCTAACAAGTAACTTCTAGCAAAAATATTTATTACTGAAGATCTAAATTTAGACATTAACAATAAAACACTAAGCTGATGAGTTGGTGAGAAATGATTAAATAACTTAACAATACAAATGCCTACTGAAATCACACCAGTTCAATTTTCAATACTTTGGAAAAGCACAGTTTCAAGAAGCGCAAAGAAACTACAACAAACACAGATTCGCAAGAGAGAGAGAGAGAGAGGAGAATAAAATGACGATTAAGGAACATCTTTAGAGCATGAAAAATTGTTAGCAGTGGATACATTTTGAGCATTGTAAACGATTTTGAAGCATTTCACAAAGAGCCTCCTACTACACTTAACACAGCTCATCAAGGGAAACAGTAGTTCGACGTGATTATACAAGTGACTGCCTCAAATGGTATATTACTACAGTTAAAAGTGAATATTCTAGACGATTTTAACAAACTGACAATTCAAAGAATGAAAAAGATGAAGCAATCTTCCTTAAGTCAAACTAACTGACGTAGGACAACATAAAAGGCTTATTCGTCAGTACTCATACTCTGACAACCATTAAAACAACCCGTTAAGTACGTACAAGAGGCAAACACTTCTCAGCGGCAGGGAAGCATATTTTAAAAATATCTGACTGCTAGACAGAGGTACATCAATTTAACTACCCAGAGTCAGTCCAAAAAGAGAACATAAACACAATGATATCACATATACAAACAGGTGTGTGGGAGAAAAGCGGATAATTTAATCTTCGACCACTAGTTGTTGTTACCACCTTGAGGATGGAAAGCAGGTCCCATCACCTATCCAAACTTAACTCACGCCAACAGTCAATAAATCCAACCACTGATTCCATGCTTCCCTCTCATCACTCTTCCCAATGTTGCTCCAGCTAACGTTTTCACTGTAAGATGGCGGTAAATCAACATACGAGATATATTTCCTAACTATAAACAGTGAAAATACACAATCCCTTTCTTACCTAATACCCTCCGCATAATTTCAACATTCCTTATTAAGCTGCTTCACCGAACGTTAGAAATTGGACGAATATATATGTATATCTGTATTCAAAACTATATTATCCTTTCATACCTTTTATTTTCCCTAACCATATTTCACAGAAGTAATGTTGGACAGGAAAAGAACTGCTGTGTGCTACAGAAATCTTTTTACGATGACCGGATATCAGGTCAGAGTCAAAGGTAACGTAACTTGGTTATTATTGAATGGACCCTCTGTATCAGTGATAAGATAATCAAAGGTATTATACTTCATTGTTTTCTACATTCATTCAGTTGCAGACGTAAAAAAGCGCGTGAAAAAACGAATTATCTATACAGGTGTTTGAGAAGTAGTGCAATCTTTGTCCAACCATTTTCATTGACGAAATATAACAAAATGACCTATCTGTGTCTGTAGCCGCTAAGTGAGATAATATCTTTCCTTAGGTCTGGAAATAGTCCCAACCAAGAAAAGGGTGATTATCTAAATGAAACTTCAAAAGATTACCACTGTTATCGGTTCAATTACATGGGACCTTGCAGATACCCTTAATACGTGTACAGGTTACTAAAAGTTCAAAAGACCCAGTATTTTTTGCCAATTTACATTTCTTGTACATAATAAAGTGAACTACCTCAATTATCACCAAAAATGACATCTTTATTTCTCTCTTAAAAGTGGCATCAATTTAAGAATGAAATGCCCATCGTCTTGACTACTGCTCGAAGACAAAAGAAAGATAGAGACAGACATAGGTCAGCAAGGAGGACCCTTTTCGTAAGCTGTACTGATAAATAGTATTTCTAAGACATAACGGAGAACACCTCTAGTGGTAAAAAATTAGTGCCAGTCCATGACACTTCTCTTTCATTTCTTGCGTCCTGAGTGAAATATGCGGCTCCAAGCTTTACAGTTTCAGTGTCGATCACGTTGATTTTGTAGTGTGGTTCCTAGACTGACGCTCAACTTCCCCCCCCCACCTCTTCCGGGCTTACTAAATACCAATTAGTGAACTAGGCGACGTCTAGAAATGCACCGGGCGGGAATCGAACCCAGGCTATGTGCGTATCTCGAGGAGATTACGACACTGACCCACCGATACACACAGTCAACAACATGATATATATACTGAAGTCCCTACACAGGTTAATGTCTTTTTACTTTATATTGTATGAGCACTTTTCATAAACAAAGGTGTTTCTAGAAATCTCGTTAACGTTTGTTAACGTTATAGCTTTTGATATGCTTTTACACCAATCAGGAAAAATAGATTTGTTTTGTTGAACAGTTAATGAATAAAATGTCGATTTAACTAAGTTTTGGTTATTCACTATTTGTTCAACACCAAACGGCCAATGTGATAAAATAAACTATAGATTGCTAAGGGCAAAACGTAATAAAGTAAGTGATGTATAAAATGTTAACATCTGTTTGTCAGACAGCCATGTTTAATCTACACTTCGCATATTTTATTATTTATCCGTACGGTTTTAGGCCATTAAATATTGCAGTATATAAGTAGCACATTCAAAGAACTCACATTCCAATTAGTAGGATAAGGTTATTTATATGTGGATTACTGGTAGAAATCCAATTGATTAAGTGTAGAATGTGACCACAAGACCAAGTGACACAATATAGCGCGTAATGTCAGTTGTCAGAAATTACTGAACCAGCAAAACTAGGTTTATGTAACAATATGAAATTGAAACTAGCTTAATGACAATTCGTTAAAACACTAGACCCAAAAGGTACATTGCATACTATAATCCAACCACAACAGAAAGCTATCTTAAAGTCACCACTTATGACTTTGCATCGTGTATTTCGTTGATAAGCAAGTATATCCACCCTCCGCTTTAAAAGAATGAACGTTAAAATGATTGAGATCCGTGACTTAAGATGGAGATTGAGATAATTTGGTGTTCTTCAAGCTTCCGTATTCAATCATGAACGTTTTACCACCAGGCTTGACGACATTTCAAGCACTAACTGTACTTTTTTTAATCTTCAAAATAATGATGCTGAAGATATTCCTGCGCCTAGTAGTGAAAACTCCACGATAAAGCACCAAAGCTTGGAAAACATGAAAGAATTTCCAGGATGAACTTTATTAATATACTTCTATTTGAAATTTAAATTACTAGAAATCGACTAGATGGCTTTACATTTGGAAGCAAAGAAGAGAGGTTTTTGAATTCAATTTTTCTCCACAGACTTAAATTTGTAGACGAAAATAAACTGGCAAATTGCCTGTCTAAGGATGAGATTAAATGAATAGTGGAGATGCGGTTATCTATATACTTCACAGATATGATATGCATTCCAGAAAGAGAGTAGTTGTGTGGACCCTAAAGAACAAATCAAAGCCGTAAATTAACCCACTGCTACATAAAATTCAGTTTACACTAACCCTTATTATTCATTGGAAAAATAAAAGACTTTATGTTGACTTTCCATAAGTAATAAATACACTTTGTGGTGTCATATTTCTATACGAAAATTAGAAAAGAAACATTATTCAACAACAATTAGACTTGGTAACAAGCCAAGCCTATTGTAGGCACTGGTGTTACTACTAGACTACCCTGACCTTGACGGAGGGAGCTAGCTTCAACAGTTAATTATCATTAAATTCGTGCATTGCTAGAATTTTAAAGACCTATTTTTATCAGTAATTTTTTTGAACACAGTTCCAGCAACGAGCCACACCTATTTTGTGGTTGCTGAGAGGACTACCCAGTCACCCAAGGTGAAGTAGGTAGAGTGAGACACGAAACCTAGACGTCCTGGCTGAAAGTCAAGCGTTTAAGCCTTTGAATCATGTCTCCACACGTAAGGAATGTGAAAGTCAGATGTAGAACCTTAGGACAGGTATATAAGTCAATTGGTTTATAAACCACTATTGCCTAAGGCAGCGGCACACCCAACGGCCGTTTTACCTTGATGTTCCAAGTTAAGGAAAGACACTAGAATAAAAGGATAAAGGTAACCATAAGAAGATGTGGTACCGACTGCTGGCTTAAGCCATGCACAGAGATAGACGCAACTTGTTTGGCTATGACCCGCTTAAACATTCGAAACCATGATTACAAACTCTAAGTGATTTGCATCAGAATCGATTGAAATAGAGTATATTCATCTAAACCTAACCATCATCTTCATTATGATGTCACATTCCTTTCTTTGATTCACCTTCCTTCTGTCTTAAAGTTTTCTACGACTAATTGGACGACGAAATAATGCTGCTTTCTATGGTGATAATAACCGGCTGAGTGGGATCTTAAGAAAAGAATAGTAGTTCCTAAAAATACAGATAGCGTTTTCAAGTATTGGTTTGAAGGGATTTGGTTAATTGGTTACAGGATTTCATCATGAGCTGACATTGGTTAGAGAACCATTGAAAAACCTGGGAGTACTGGACAGCTGTTTCGTCCTAGTTTGGGACTCTTCGACAGCACGTACCCACCGGGGTTCGAATCCAGGGCCTTCTGGTTACCAGAACAGATAGCGTTTGTTTTGTCTAAGTTTCAAGGGTTTAAAAAACAAAATATACAAAAGGCATAGTAGAATAATACTCACTTTCGTAATAGCTTGATTGAGAGACTCTAACGTATCTGAATCTCTCACACCGGATTCGAAAACGCATACCTCTAATTCAGCCAAATTTTCACGAGCTGTATTCAGAGTTGAAATAGCATTTTCATATTTAACAGCAGCTAATTGAATTTCCTTTCGGTAGCAAACTTGTTTCTGTTTCAATTCATTGTACGGTCGAGTACGTGTTATGCACTTTCCAAGCTTTTTACTTAGTTGTTTTAGTTTATCAGAATGATCTGATAAAACCTTACGGTAAGCATCACGAGATATCTAAACATAAGATTTGAGCAAATTAATAATACACCAAATCTACTTCTAATCTTCTCTCCAACTCATTAATCTGTGTAGATGTTTTATTAAGTATATCTAATTGAATCTATTAGTAAAAGATATTGGAATATCATGAAAAAAAGACTAATAAAGGCTTACTTCAACTTCTTGAAAAGATGGAAAAGTTATTTGATCATGGCGATGAGTTGGATTCATGAGATGAAGTGAGAATTTTGAAATGGCTCACCATATGAAGGAATTGTTGATATTCACATGCATCTACAAAAAAAAGTCTCTTTTGGTTATAGAGCTGATTATCATGACAATCGACCTTAGACAGTGATTAGACTTATGCTATAACTAGCTGCTGTATATTACAAAACTTTTTCGTAGCAGTTACGACAAAAGCCTATTTAGATTCAATTTTCTGCGTTAAAGCTGCAATACAAATTAATTTGCAACTGAAAAAAATGAAGGGACAAGGGGAAGCTGAGAACAGCTCAGACACAATGAATATAAATTATTCCTGTTCGTATTGGCCTTAAAATTTCAGAGTAATAAGCAATGTGGTTATCGCTCACAGTCATAGCATATGCTACTACATCTTTTAATTCAGCTATGCATTTAATAAGAACGAAGTGTGCATTTTTAGTTTACCGTTTCTCTACAGAAATTGCCTCAGAAACTCACAAAGTAGTAGAGAAACAATGAAAAACTTTGTGTGACCTATACATCCAAAACTCAACTCATAAACTAGACACTAGTGTGTAGGTACACCTATATATATATATAATATTCAGACTTGCAAGTTTGTTTTGAACGTCAAAACAAAAAACTACAACTATCCAATAAGTTTTTAGCAAACGCCTTCATTTTTAAATTTACCTGAATCTGGTACACCTCATGCTTGCTGCGAAGGACACTGTCAACTTCACAATGTAAAGGAAGTACCGTCTAAAATCAAAATACTTGTCAAAGTCAACTGTACAGTATCCAATGTCGTGTTCAACATTATTGGTAGAGAGTAAAATGCTTGAATCCTTTATTGGCCCTTTCCCAAAAGATACCTGTGCGATTTTTGAATGTTTTAAATGGAGACACTGATACCACTTCTTCTGACAGATGATTCCAGGGGCTTAAGACTCAATGTGAGAACTAATAACTCACGGAGATATAGTTTCTCCTTGGCTTTTCGACTCTCCTTCTGTGTCCTCTGCAGTTATAATATGAAAGGAGAAGAGATTCAAAATATCTGGTTTTTCAACGTATAACGTATTGGTCATGCCAAGAATTATACATACTGCCTTCCTTCGAACCATTTCTAGAATGTATGAGTCCCCTTTGAAACAAGTACTGGCTGCGTGGTCATAGTTTCCCAGTCTTCGCCTCAGTAGACTTATATAAAGAAGTGATAATACCTCCGGTGATACATGTAAACGCTCTGCTCACTGCCCAAATGATCTGAAATTACTAGCTGCCACCACACGACAGTACGCTATAGCTTTTAGGTGTTGCCTTTTTACGACACCTAGATACACACAAGCCTGAACCAATGAGAGTGTCATTCCCTCTAGTTCTTATGAGCTGGTGTTCCACGTTTGATTCTAAGACTTTCCGATTCCATGAACAGTCTTGTGTGTGGTACCCTGTCAAGGGCTTTACTGAAGTCTATATGAACGATGTCAATGAGTTTTCTATTGTCCTGACTTAAAGCAGCTTTCTTTTGCCGTAAGAATGCTTGTCAGCCATGAGAGGTTTCTCTGGAAGCCATGTTGAGGATGTTATCTAGCAGATATTGGTGAGACTGATAGGTCTATAGTTTGAAGAACAGTATCTAGACCCTTCTGTGTGGATTGGAGTTGCTGCGCAACCTCTCCGGCATCGAAGAGTGTCGGCTAAGCTCCCCTTCAGCGACTGATGACCAACTCAGTCCGTCGAATCGAATTTTCCAGGATTCATTCCTAAGTTTTCACATGACCATTGATGCCGTTTAGGTGCTAACATTGTATGAAAAGCTTTCATATGACAGACACTTTTCTGTTATAGAAGTTCTCAAGTTTATTTGGGAGCCTAGGCTCTCGAGTCGCTCCACTGCATACGCAACACCGACAAAATTATCCCTATCTAAATACAACTGCTATCAAGTCGAAACACGTAAGGCAGCTTGACTTACACACTGCTTTCAGCCGTCATTCTGCGCATGCTCGTGTATGAAGACGAAGCTAGAAGTAAGTTGGAACCTATCACCAGGGCCTACTTCCAGTCTATGATCGCATTGCCAAAAGGATAAACCGAAAGAGTTAATGTAGATTTCGATGACGCACTTCAGTGGGCACACCGTAAATAGTTTAAATGTATACCGTTCAACCGAATAGTGGCTGCACTTTCAGCGTCCAAGTCTAACTACACTGGACTTAGCGCTGTCCTTAAAAGACCTTCAGCAAGAATGTGAAGTCCCATGTACTTTCTGAATGCACTTACTGTATCACAGCTAGAAGGTACTACACTTAACATGCCTGAGACTCTATGGGTTAACTTACACTTAAATAACGCAATAGTATTAATTGGATGCACCTACAGAGCACCTGGCACGTTTAGTAATTACGAGACCCAACTTATTAATACTCTGGAACAATTATCCACCGTACACTACGATCATAAAATCCTATGTGGAGACTTTAACTTACCAGAAATCAACTGGGATATACCCACAGGCCTAACTAAATTTGATAAGTCCTTAGGCATACTGGATATACTTGGATGGAAACAGACTGTCACAACCCCAACAAGAGGTAATAACGTACTAGACTTAATCTTCTGCCACAATATAAGTCCCCTTTCTACCCTAATAGGTTCTGAGTTTCCAGGGAGCGACTAGAAAACAGTGCTGTGTGTACTTCCAATTCCATCAAGTAGCAATGCAGCTCATACCACCACTTCACAACAAGTAATATATAGGAACTACAGTAAGGCAGACTGGACTTTACTGAAATCAATGTTAAGATCCTCAGAATGGAGAGAGTACTTCTACATTGAAAATCTCTCGAAAGCTCCAGACATCTTTTACTATAACTCGAACACAGGCCTAGACGCAGTGATCCCATTGCAAACAGTAAAAGTCTCAAAATTCAAGAAGCAATTTATTCAACCAGAAGATCGCTCAAAAATGAAGACACTGTCAACATGTTACTTCAGAGGACACGGTTTTAGTACACTAGGGTCAATACTTAGTACTCTTAGCTCCATCTCGCAAGCTCATAACTTGCGTATGAGAAATGAAGAATGCACCGCACTAGCCAGCACCACCAGAGTAGGAGCCCTCACAGAAATCCTAAAGAAACGAATGAATCGCCAAAGCCATAAAATTTCTCTCCTTATAAACAAGGGCAAACTATACAGCAACCATGCAGACATGTGTGAACTGTTTAATGAGACGTTTGCAGCTAACTACCTTAAGCCTACAAGTCCACTTCTCGGTTTACAATCTAAAATAGAACTCCCTTCTTCTTCAACGCTGAAACAAATCAGTACAATTCATTTCATTTATTCTAATATTAACCAAGCCATTAAAACTCTTAAAATCTCTAGTAGTGCTGGTATTGACGGTATACCATCGTATTTTTATAAACACGGTGGTGCTGACATTCCCGTTTTATTACTTAAGATTTTTACAATGTCCCTAGAAAGCCAAACCTATCCAGATAAATGGAAAACGACATTTATAGTACCTAAACACAAATCCGGATCAAAAACTGAAGTCAACAACTATAGGCCAATCAATATTACACCCATAGTATCTAGAATCATTGAACGAATAGTTAAAGATGATATCCTCAAACATATGCTCAGCTGCAATATTCTAAGTCCAAACCAACATGGATTCCTAAAATCCAGATCATGCATGACATGTCACCTTGACTTCTTTAACTATATAACTAGCAGCCGAGACAGATAACAACTAGTACTAGTCATCTACTTTGACGTATCCAAAGCCTTTAACCGCGTTGACCATTTGCCGCTAATAAATAAGCTGAACTCCTTAGGAATACGTAACCCATTATAAAGATGTCTTGAATCATTCCTTAACAATAGGTCTCAAGTAGTTAAACTGGGGTCTGTAAATACTAAGCCTAGTCCAGTCACTTCGGGAGTAGTTCAAGGTAGCGTCCTAGGCCCCCTCCTATTCATTTTATATGTCAACGATATATGCAGCTGTTTCTCACTTGGTAAACCGTTCATCTTTGCAGATGATCTTAAAGTAGCTTACACATTCCACTGTGATGACTTGGGGTACTTTCAGAAAGCTGTTCAGGAAGAACAAGATAGAGTAACTCCATGGCCCTCCACATGGAAATTATAATTCAACCTTAAAATATGTGGTTGGATCTGTTTCGGTGCATGTTCAATAAATATCAAACTGGTACTTGAATCTCTTGACTTGCCTAAATTCCAAAGCGTTGTTGACCTAGGACTCAGGTACTCTAGTGACATGACATTTTCTGAGCAAGTGGCGACACAGACGCGTAAATCGAGGATGCTCCTAGGATGCATACTCAGGAATTTCCACAACTACGAGGCGAAACTATTACTATATAAAACTTGTGTCAGACCACTACTTGAATATTGTCCACTTATTCTCAGCAGCACTCGAATAAGTGACAAACTTAAAATAGAAAGTGCCCAACGATACTTCACGTCTAAACTTCTAGAATTTGACTGCGAAAAGGACTACACATCAAGGTGTATAACTCTAGGTATCGACCCACCCTGGATGAGACGACTGAGCATTAACCTAACATTCTTCTTTAAAATCTTGCATAAAATATCATTCTCAGACAGCAAAGAGATACAGTACTCACCGGAAGGCTCTTACAACCTTCGTAACCAAACGTGCACAGTATCCAGGAAAAACTGTTAAACAGCACTCCGTGCAAACTTCTTCATAGTCATGTACTCTAAGATCTGGGATAGTTTACTCCTAGAAATAAGGACCTGTCACTCTATTATAAGCTTCGAACGCTTGCTATATAAACTGTTTCATCCCAATGGCTATGCCAATCACACCGCCCACTTATTTCTAAAACGCATCAGCTATTAGAACACTATAACGCCTAGACTCATTACTAAATATTATGACACTAAATAAACTCTAAGACTTCGCAAAAATCCATGAAAACACAACTAGAATATAGGAAATGTTTACTATACGGTTATAT